GAGCGATCTGTCTTCCTGTCGGACAAACTGTGTTAGCGCTTAGCTCCCAGTTCTGAGCTTCTCTAGGAATTCTCGAGCAAGTCTGAATTGGGGAGTCCTGGGATTCCAAAAGCCTTGGTTTAAAAAAAACTAATTACATGTTATCATGATATAAGGACTTCTTTAAAAGGTCAGGCTAATCTGTCTGTGAAGACACACAGGGACTGAATCTCACATGATTGATAAGGTGGGTGTGAGTTTTCAGGTTGTAAGTGAGTTAGGTAATGACACTGGAGCAGCCATAAATATCTGTGAACGAGTCATGGAGTGACATTTTGGAAGTGCTTCCAACAAATCAACCTTGCTTGAATCTCACCCGTCTCCTGGAACCCTCCTCTCCAGGAGCCTAATCCTATGCAATAATCCTTCCTAATTTCTTTCCTGTCCTTTGGTTTCTTGGCCTCCCGCCCCTGTTCTAGTTCAAGCCCTCGTCATGTCAGGCCTGGATTGTTGCAACAGTCTCCTCATCTGTTATCTGTCTCCAGTTTCTCCCTGCCTCTGACCGATCCTCCACACTGCCTCCAGGTCCAGGGCTCGAGTTTTCCTAACACACCCCTTTCTGCGTGCTCCGTCTCTGCTCGGAAATCTCTGACTCTCTCCCGTCGCTGTGCGCGTAAAGCCTAGTCCACAGTCTGGCAGCTGATGTCCTTCATGCTCCAGCCCACTGCCCAACCATCTCTTCCCCCGTTGCCCAGGCACCAGCCAGGCGGAGGAACTCACTGTGCCCCCAGCAAACCTGGGCCTCTGCTCATTGGTCCCCATGGCCACCTCCACCTGGCTCATCCCTAGAAGGCCTTTCCCCTCCATTCTGCTTCTTCAACTCGAACTTTCTATTACAGCTCCACTCACTGAGGTCACCTCCAACCTCTCCAGCCCTTCTTGGTCTAATTGAGTTGCATTTGCAGTTTTATTGCAGATGATTATGTTCTTAAAGCATATAAGCATATTGTTTAGATGTGCATGTCAGCCTTCACATCTCCCATCAAATGCTAACTGATCTCCTGGCTCATGCACCTACCTCTTGATTCATTCCATATACTTCCTTGGTCTCTAATCAATTCATGCCAGCGCTCAACAACTTTCAGGGGCTCCCCAGGCACCACTGAATCAACTTCCTTCACAACCTTCATATTCTGAACTTTATCAACTCCCTTCATGTCTCTGAGCCCCAGTTTCTTAATCTGTAAAATGGGAATGAAAATTCTTACCTTGCAGGATAGTTTTGACGATCAAATGAAACAATTATGTAAAGTGTATACCATGGGGCTTGACACACAGTAGGGATGCAATACATTGGAGCTGATCTTACTTTTATTACTCCTCCCTGAGCCATTTTAAAAAACAATTATTATTAGCCCTCTCTGAACTGTTCCCCAAGCCACAGAACAGAGCCTTGCACATAGCAAGTGCTCCGGAAATGTTTGCTGAATGTGAAATAAACCAGTCTTGGTCAAGTCACACACAAGTTGTTAGTGCCAGGATGGGGAATCTTATTAACTGGTCTTTGAAGAACCCCCAAAGGGAGGTTGGTATTGCTTACTCTGAAAGGAGGGAAGACACTGACAGTCTCTCTTGCTAAGGAGAGTGAATGTGTTATAGGATCTTTAAAACATTTTCAGTAGCAACATGTGGGCATGGGCTTGGGCTGGGCTGCTCTTGCAGCTGGCTTTTGTCAAGCGTTGGCTGCCCTAAAAGCAGAATTGGCTGCTTGGGAAGACCACAGGATTAGCTGGGGCCCCAGCTGGAGGGAGGGAGCCCATTCCTCTGATGTGCACAGTTGCCTCTGGGCCTGGAATCCATTCCTTGCTTAGTTGCCAGAGGACTATTTTAGATCCTGTAGAGTTGGCAGGAGTCCCTAGTACGCCCATATCTTTGTGTATGAACTGCTTGTCACTTGCCTCTTTCTCTGGGCTGTTTCAGAAAGGATGGAAGAAATTAATGGCTGTCAATGACTGAGGCTCTCTAGTTATGGTTTTATTTATGCATAATTTGACAGGTAGGTTGTCTTCTCACTGAGAAACAGCAAGTTCCTTATCTTTTGAGATTGTTTTCATTAACCTGAGAAGTGGTACTGTGCACTTCACTGGAGTAGGGAAACATGTAGTCAGTCTCAGCAAAAACACAGCCAAAGAGGCCAGTGGTCCCTACAGAACCACTTCCTCTTTAATTTGGGTTGTTTCACCAGTAGGTCTGCATCCCAGCCTCTCCATTACCACCGCCTGGTCTTCAGACGTGCAAAGGAAATTCACTATTTGTTCTCTAAGGAGTGCCGTGTTTTAAAAACTATGCACACACTGAAACACAGAAAAATGTGCATACATGTACAATTATTTGAACTTAACTACATATGTATATAAACATATTTCTAGACATCATAACAAAAGAAAATAATCTCCTGTGATAAGAAATGCCTATTAACTATTCAAAAAATGAATCAAGTTTATCTCTCTTGGGTAGCACAGAGTAACTTATCAGATGTCAATGGTTAGGCTAACATTTACTTTAGTAGAGAGATGATTACAAGGGTTGAAAAGCCTATTGAACCCACCAGATTGTCCACACATCAGCTGGTTTTCATCTAAACCAGTTTATAATCTAAAACAGGAAAGTCTTTACTTTTAGATGCAACCAAGGTCATAACCTTTGGGGGTTTTTGTTCTTGAAGGGGTCCATGGCCTGAGAAACTCCAGCCCTCCACCCCAAGTTGCACGTTGTCTCTGAACTCCTGAATGAGGCGGTGCTGCTCAGGAAGGTGCCTGCGCTGCGTGACACTGCTCCAGGGGACACTGCTGCCGCCGTCACCGGGCTTGCACACGTTCCTACGCTAAAAGCCACGGTGTTTGGCTTGGGTTTAACCTAACCTTCTTTTATTCGAACGCAAACCCCACAATGCTTGGTATGACAGATTTCCTGAGTGAACTGGCACCATGAGTAACAGGCACTTGGGCCTTTGTATCCTGCCCCCCGGCTTTTTTTTTGTAAAATGGGAAAAATAGCTTCTGTTTATCTGCAAAGCACCAGAATGGATATGTTTGAAGATTAGGTGCCACAGTCTCTGAAACTGTCATGGCTCCCATGTTCAAAAAGAGTGTGTGTGTGTGTGTGTGTGTGTGTGTGTGGTAAGGATAGGAAATGGGGCTTAGGGGCTGCAAAGAAAGCAATTCTTTGTGCTTTGTTGACCCTCTCCTACCAACCTTCACCCCAAATAACAAAAAGGAATTTTGTGGATTATATCTATAGGCATGTATCCCACCCACCCTTTATTCTTAGAAAGGATCCCACGGAATCCCCTTCCCCTTCTGGGCTGCTTTGGTTTAGTCCCGAGGAGGCAGCTTGGCTGCATGGGGATAGAGGGACTCTTGACGAGCAGGTGTCCCAGTCAAATAACATTTACAGCAAAAGATGCTCTGACAGGTACTCATGGCATGGCTCATGCTTGCAGCCTGCACTGTGATCAGCTAGAAATGCAGAGCAGTGATTCCCAGAAACGCCTGTAATTAGTAATCTTTTAATACAGCTAAACCAATTCTCAGTGTCTTTTCCCGGCTCTCTAGAACCCAGTGGAATATGGTGAGCGTTCCCCCGACACTCCCACGGAATCCCCTTCCTCGTTTCTCTCTCCCCAACCCCCATCCCCTTTCTCTCTCCTTTCTCCACCCGTCCCTCTCCTGCAAGCCGCCCAGCCCAGAATTACTTTTCATTCTTAGTTTTTGTCTTTGTCATTAAAAGAGAAAATGTTTTCATCTGACCCTCTCCCCACCACCAAGCGGTCACAGTTCCATGTGCCTTGTGATCTTTCTTAAGGTGACCCTGAGCTCCCTGCAGGAGTCTTCTCAGGCCCCTCGCATCGTGGCGGTTGGCTGCCTCCGTGGGGTGGGAGGAATGAGCTGCAGGCAGGGCCCCTCCTGCTGCAGGGCTCCCTCCCGGAGAGCGGCTCAGCCTGACTGGGAGGCTGGGGCGGCTGCGGGCCAGCAGGGTGCGGGCGGGCACAGGCCTCCTACCCAGTGCTTCCCAGGCCCTCTATCGGATGACTGGACTTTCAGCCTCAACTCTGAAGCCGCTGCTAACCTGGCAAGAGGACCTCACAGTGCAGGCACAGCAGGGTGAGGGGCCCTGTTTCAAAAACTAGGCACATACTGAAAACAGAAATGTGCATCCATGCACAATTATTTGAAGTCAACTCCACGTGTATATGAATATATTTTGATGCATAGTACAACACGGATAAACCATGTATACATGAACCATGAATACATGGGTAAACCATGAACACAGTACAACATGGATAAAACATGAGTACATATGAAGTGATAAGCAGACACAAACGGACAAATATTGTATGATTCCGTTTATGTGAGGCGCCTAGGGCAGTCAAATTCAGAGGCAGAAAGTGGGAGAGGGGCTGCCAGGGGCTGGAGGGAGAGGGGCCTGGGGAGTCAGTGTTTGATGGGTACAGGGTTCCAGTTTTGCCATAAGAAAAGAGTTCTGGAGATGAATGGTTGGTGATGTTTGCACAACAATGTGAGTTACTTAAATTAATGCCACTGAGCTCGGCACTTAAAGTAGTTAAGATGGTAAATTTTATATTATACCTATTTTACCACAATTTATAATAAACAATTGTTATATATATATAGAGAGAGACAATAGTATAATTGCTTTCAACAGATATTCCCTATGAAACTATGAGTTCTCACACTCATGTCAATGACCAGCACTTAAAAAAACAAAAATAAGTTGATCAAATAATTCCAATTTCAGAAGACCTTTTGAAATAAACATTGCTTTATTAACTCATTCTTTCTTTTCAGCATCTTCTGCACTATTGTTTTTCAACAACAAAAGAAGGCATCTTTTAGGATCTACAGTTTTCTTCTAAAAGCTGTCTTTCACAGTCTTCCAATGACTTAATTTCCTTTTCTTCTTAGATATTCTCCTGAAAGNGTCAGTCTTCCAATGACTTAATTTCCTTTTCTTCTTAGATATTCTCCTGAAAGAAACAGAACATGGTTATTATTCTTGAGCAGCAAATTATCACCACAATATGATCCATTCATTCATTTGTTTATTCCATAAACACTGGCGAGTGACGACCAGGTGCTAGGTACTGCGCTAGGGACTGGAGACACGAGGAGGACTGGTCAGACCCAGTCCCCGCCCTCCCAGGAGTTCCGTTGTCTAGCTGGGGAGATAGAGATATAAAAACATCAATTATGTTCCTAGAATCTTTCATAATAAAAAATTTTAAACAGTCATAATTCTTTACTTCCCAAATTTTTTGATGGAGAAAATAATTTAAAAAACAAGTGAAGGAGATAGAAGTAATGAGACATGTAACCGGCTCTTGAGTGGGTATCAGCTTTATCCATCCCTCATGAGCATCCAGCCGCTTCCAAAACAGCCCGTCCCTCCCCAGAGCAGTGGGTCTTAGTGGCATGATGTCAGCGTCTCCTTCTAACTAGTACACACATTCTTCAGAGTTATTTTGTTTTTTGTTTTTTTCTGGCTCTAAGCAAGAATATGTAATTTCTAATAAAATTTTTAAAAAAGAATTTCATCCTGCAAAATATACCTTCTTTAGAATTGTGGTCAATGTTTCAGTTGCGTCAGACCATTACATTTTGATTCTTCCAGTAGTTTTAATGTCATATCCTTGAAGTGTGTTCACTTCAGTGACATGCTTTGTCAGTGATGCAACACTATTGCATGTCCTAGAACTGTTCCTTCTGAAGCCTCAGAGAGGTATCAGATTTGTTCCATGTATTATTTGTGATGATTTCTCTGTGCCATTTTTTGTGTGATAGGCATACACAATAGGACAGGGGGAGTATTAAAAAATACTTAGGGCAGTGAGGACCTAAAAAGAAAAAGAATATATAGTTTCTGTGATGTTACCTAATTTCTCAATTAATCCTTTAAGATTCAGCTCTCTGGAGCCTCCCCAGATTCTTTTAGGCAGGGGCCATTCATTTATTTGTTCATCAAATACGTATTAACTGCCTACTTGACAATTGATCCCATCTTAGGTACTGGAGAAACGGGAATGATCAGGACACAGGTCTTACCTTCTAGGGGTCACAGTCTAGGTAAACAAAGGACTACAGTGGAGTAATAATAAAGGGATGCACAGAACACATAGCACAGTGGGAAGATGCCTGAGATCGACTTGGGTCTTCAGTGGTTCTGAGGAATTTGCCAACTGGATGTGAAGGGGCAGGAACAGAAAAGGAGAGCATTTCAGGAAGATAGGGCATCGTGTGCAGAGGCCGGAAGGCAGAGAACGCATCTCGATCCTTGGTTTCCCAGTTTACTGGGACAGTGCAACGCACATCGTAGAACACCCGTGAGGATGTGCTGAAAGGATGAAGGAATTGCTGCTTTCCTTCCGAGTGGAAGCAGAGGCTTCTACTATTTTAAAAAAGTGGTCAAGCAATTCCAAAAACTTTTAGAAATTTCAAGTTAGATTAAAAATCGAAACACAAATACAATTTATATCACTTATTAAGCTCAACTCTAAAAGATATAACCTCCCAGTTCTATATTAGATCTTTATTCAAAAATGTATAGACATGGAAGGAGACCGCAGCCGATACCAACAAGCTGCGTGCCTGGCTCACAGTAATTTCTTTTTCTGTAAAAGGTTCCTTTATAGGGTGGGGCCCCCAGCAGCTACCTCTCTTGTTTTTTTAACCCGTTGCCTCCCTCCTCCACACCATCCAAGGCTGGTCAAATCGGTCAGAGGTGGCATGTGAGGCTTGGCCATGACACCAGCCAGGAAAAGAGGGAGTTTGCAAGGGGACAGAACAAACCTGACCCTCTCAGGAGAGGCAGAGAAACGTTCTAGCAGTGCTCCTGTTTGCCCTGTGGCTCAGCTGGACTCCATCCTCCCAGTGGTTCTATAAATATCCTCAGTATCCTTCCAGTCGGTTCCTACTTTCTGCCCCAGCTCATTTGGTCTCAGTCACAGCCAGAAGACTCCACTGCCACAGGGAACAAAAGCAAACTTACCCAGCTTCTCCGTGGCTTCCACACAGACACTAGGATACATGCCCTCAGTGTAAGTTGCCACCACAAGATACAGGTTGGTCTTCACAATAATCACACCGGTGTTTTCCTGCGTAAGAATAAAACTGGTTCTAATCACAGGAGTTACCCTCCAGCCGTATTTTTCACCATTTTCTGACTTCCATAAATTCATACATTTGTTTTTGGACTCTCCACTGTGTCCCACTAACTTAGCTGTCTTTACTCAAAAAGTTTAAGACTGTTGTAAGCCCGGCCGGGTGTAGCTCAGCTGTTGAGCATCGACCTAGGATCCAGGCGGTCAGGGTTCGATTCCCGGTCAGGGCACATGCCTGGGTTTCGGGCTCGATCCTCAGTCGGGGGCGTGCAGGAGGCAGCCGATCAATGACTCTCTCATCATCAATGTTTCTATTTCTCTCTCCCTCTCCCTTCCTCTCTCTGAGATCAATAAAGATATATTTAAAAACAACAACAACCAAAAAACCTGTTGTAACACAGCAGGGTGTTTTGTAAAAGTTCCCCAATATACCCCTATCCCAGTGAGAAAGGCAATACATTTTGGAATTGGACACCCCTGGTTTGAATCCCAGCACCTCCGTTTTCTGCTGCACGACTATGAAAGAGTTATTTCACCTTGTTTTTAGCCTCAGTTTCCTCATCTGTAAAATGAAGCTACTTAGTTTATGATGTGGATGAAGTGCGCCTAACCCATAATATAAGGCTTCCAGTTAACATGATTTCACCTCCTTAGTTACTTATAAGCAACAAAAAGGCAAGAGAGGTTTTAAGCATGGGGTAATATCACTTTTTTTTTTAAAAGGAGGGTGCAGAATATGAAGAATGGATTATAGTGGAGAGAGACAGCTCGGGCAAGGGTTAGTTGATAGGTTCAGGAACACATACTCCTCAAAACCAGGCTGCCTGTTAGTACTTTTTTTTGCATGTGCTCCCCTGGCACTGGGCTGCCGTCTCAAGCATTGCCTTTGCAACAGTGGGCTTAGTCTGTTTTATAGATGGGATCAGAAGAGACACAGAAAACTGAAGTCAGCTTCTTTCCTGATGGTTTTTACCCCGCTGTTTTCAAACCTTGAATACTCACATTCTTAGCGTAGAGAGAATAATCATCTGCCCGGACACTCTTGTAGTCCTTTTCCATGAAATACAGCCCTTCTCTTCTGGCCTGCAAAGGATTCTTGGCGAACCCATTCACCAGTATGCGGACGTCACTGGGCATTATCTGCAGAGGTGAAGTGGACCGGGAGTCAGCAAACGATGGCCGGCTGTCCACAGCGGGCCCGCTACCTGGTTCTGAATTCCTGCAAGCTAAGAATGGTGCAGGGGGGGTCAAAAGAATAATATTTTGTTGTATGTAGAAATGACATGAAATTAAAATGTCAGTGTCCATAAATAAAGTTTTATTGGAACACAGTCATACCCATTCTTTCGTGCATTGTCTATGGCTACTTCCCATGACACCTGCAGAGTAGCTGTGTAGTTGAGACACAAACCAAAAGGCCTGGAAACCTAAAATGTTTACTAGGGCTCTTTACAGAAGGTTTGTTTAAAACTCTTATGCCCCAACTTTTTGTTGTTGTTTTTTAAGCTTTATTCCCAAACTCATTTTTCTTACGCCAAACCCTGGTGACGCCACACACAGGCTCCGCTCCTGGAGCTTGATGAGGGCTGCGCTGTCCACGTGCTTCGTGCCCAGGAGGGAATCCAACAGTAAGTTCTGCAAATGGCTCATGCTGCTCGGCTGGGGGAAGGCTGCAGCGAAAGGCTCCGCTCTGGCGGCGTTTAAAAGGCCTGTGAACACAAACCTGCCTAAGATATTTTGGACAGTTTCAGTACCAGCATGTGTTCTCTGAAAAGATGGCGAATGAGCCCTGGCGGGGTAGCTCAGTGGCTTAGACGGTCCGCGGGATAGCGAAGGTTTCAGGACTTGCTCTCTGGTCAGGGCACATGCAAGAAAACCACCAATGAATGCATACACAAGTGAGCAACAAACCATTGCTCTCTCTCTGTCTCTCTCATTTCCTTCCTCTCTCTAAAATTAATAAATAAAAATATTTTTTTAAAAAAATGAAAAGATGAAGAGTGAAGGTGGTTGTGCGTCGTCTAATATCCACCCACACTCAAAGAGGAAAATGAAATCATAGAAAATCACAGTCCAGAAGGGGCAGGTTGTGCAGCGGGTTTAGAGAATCGCCCCTCACAGCCGTCCAGCCCTGTGGGTGGTTTGCACGAGGATCACCTGCGATTAGGAAACAAAACCAGCGCCTGCGGGG